TAAAAAATTCAGGAGTCTAATTTATCTTGAGATATGCTCAGTCAAGTAGTTTTTCACAGCAGTTAGCTAACACTTCAAGCTCTAACAGTGCCCCTGAGCCATAAAAGAAATTTGCATGTAAGAAATGTTTTGAATCTATTAAAACCTCAGCTCAGAGCTAAAGAGTTGCTCTCATGTCTTTGTTGACTAACATAAAGTGAGATGTACAAAAAGCTAGGCTGTGATCGACAGATGCCAAAGCTTAGGTTTTGATGTGATTATGTATTTCTTTCATGCACAGCGGTTTAAGTCTGGGACTGGAGCTTCAGAAAGACAGCAATCAATGGGTCTGTGCAAGAGTGCACAAAATGTATTACTCCTGGCAGTCGTCAAGGCAGAATTATTCAAAAAATAATCTGAAATGCATTTGATCATACACTGGATGGTTTAATAATTTATATTATACCTTATTAGCAAAGTCTCGTGTTTACTTTGTGGCTGCCAAAACAAGATGAAAGGCTGCCTCCATGGAAATACAAGATGCTTGCCTCAAAGTGTCTGTCTTTGCATTTCAGTTTGATAATTTCCCTTCCTCTCTTCATTTTGATTAATAGTATATAGGTTTAAATCTTAGGGTACCTTTTCCTTCATTGCAGTCCTTTTTAGTGAGAGCAGTGCTCCTTATTAACAAGTCTACCGAAGAGTTTATGGTCTGTCAAGACTTAAATTAGTATAAACACAGATTTCTGGAAACTTCTTTACCCTAGGATTTCCTCCAAGTATTTTTTAGGAAACGAAGCTTTGGATTTAGTTCTAAATTCCACTGAACTGAATCATTATGCTAATCTTCCTCAGTCTTGCAGCTACAAAAGTGTGATTTCTGAGCTCAGCCTAAGAAATTGCTACACTCTGACTAGTAATAGTGTATAGTAAATATCACCATTTATATCAGTTCAGAATATTGCAGAAATGCCTTGAAGATTTCCTTGAAAAGTGAATGCACTGCCAATATTTTATCTAGAGATACAAATAAGGGCCTTTCAGAATTAATTCTTCTATGAAGTGAGAGCACAGGGAGTGGACCAGTGTAACTGCTAGTTCAACACATGAGATCTTTGCCTCCACCCAGATTTTTTTACACCAAAGGTGTTGATAAAAAAGCTCTAATAAACTTGGTTTTCTGTGGAGAACTCTCCTCCCCACAAAACATGAAAGATCTTTTCTGCAGGTGTGTTGAATAGCTCTTCCAAGGCCCAGGATGTAGAAAGCTTTAGGGAAAAGAACATACAGGGAAGGATCTCAGAATATAGCTCTACAGTATTGCAAATTCTGAAGATCATAAGACAGCCCAAAGAATCCCTTGTAATTTGTCTTGTCTACCCTAGAAGGCTTAATTTTAATTTTAGTTGTAGTTTCTGTAATTTCATCCTCTTCCCTCCTCCTCTGTGCATACAATATATAATACAATATATATGGTATACTTTACCTGAAAACTAGCTCTTCAAACAGAGCCTACAGGACTTTTTGCCCAAGTGAAAAAAAAAAAATATATATATATAGTGTTTTTCACTAGCTCAGCTGGTAATACAACATTTCTGTGATAGTAAGAACTGATTATATTATAGACAGGCATGTCACTGTTGTCCAGACTGCAGTGAGGGCCACTCAGCCCTCTGCTCAGGCTTCAGAGTGGTCAGCTTAGGACGGCTTTCCCTCTTCCCACTGAGTTTTGTGCTGTGTCTTACAAAGCTACACGACAGACTTAGGAAGAGGCATCTACCTGCAGGTGTCTCTGAGACATTATCCTGTTTTTAAAAGCTGTTGCAGGAATTGCAGGAGGCACAAGAGACAGACATTTTCTAAAGGAGCCTTTCAGTTGCAGGGAACCAGATGTACTCTTTTTTACAAATGCATTTTCTGTGGCAGTAATGACAGAAAGTTTCAAGGAAGCCAGTGGTATTACCCATGTGTCAATGTTGCAGGGCAGAATCTGGGGGCAAACTACAGAGCAGTTCTTAGAAAACATGGATCAGACAAACATATTTATTGTTTTTCTTGAAAGAAAATATTTGGCAGGATCATCTGAAGAGATAAACATTATCAAACAGAAATACAGTAGTGGTTTAAGCAATAGACTGTGAAGTAGCTCTTAAAGGAAAAGGGTCATTTTAGTTTGCAAACTGATCTTTTTGTCCATATAAAAGCACTTTAATCCATGAGAAAATTCGTAAAGAATTCAGGTTAGCAAGGTAATAGGAGTAGCATTTCATGATCAGGAGAAGGAGGAGTATTTAATGAAAGCAGAACTTCTGGTTTAAATTGGCAGTCTCTTATAGGATCTGGGGTACTGCGAAAATCTAAAAATACTGAGCAATTTAGAAAATGTGACTACCAGTAGAAACAAATGCATGAGAGTTCAAAATATAAGATAGAAGGAAAACAAAAGCATAGAGAAATTGTGAGAATTTTACCTCGAACTCAGTTAAGTTTCAGTATTTGTAAAATACTATAAAAGATCACCTACAGGAAGAAAATTAAAAATGGGTTTAATGTATCAGTACGATCACCTAATTTATGGGAAATATGATAAAGTAAGAAGTAAATGGGCCTCACAACTTTACAGGCTGACTTACTCAGATGAAATACCACTGGGACAACTGGCTGTGGAGCCAGTGGCGTTCCCCACGATGAGAACTTCGTAAGCTTTGCTAAAATCTCTTCTGTCATTCTGTCCTATTAGACCTATGCTGTATACTGCCTAGTGCATATGCATCACATGTTGCTATAGGCGTTTAAGACAACAATGTGGCAGCAAAAAAAGAGTATAGGATATTCATGATCAAAATGAGACTATTTGATTTTGTGTTGGAAACAAACAGAAAAACTGTAAAACAGAAATGAAGCACCAGTGAAATCATTACTGAAAACTACTGCACAGGAACGTGAATGAATGCAGCTGTGTAGAAATATTTAATGACCTGGGAATCTGGTTCTAGTCTGCCAAATTTTAAGTCATGAATCTGTGAAAATTAAATATCAGAAGAACTTAGTCGGTGGTTGTATTGATATTTTTACAGCCTTATCCATTCTTTTAAATCACCTTAGCCTTAGTGTTAATGTACCAATGATACATATAAAAATGGTCATGGCCATTAATTATGTGCCTTATATTGGTTGAGATTGTGAGACCTGCAAAGAAAAGAAAGGCTTTATAAATGTCTAGAAAGAATAAATTGCAAATGAGTTTTGATTAATATATAAACCCCCCTTAATACTGTACAGTTTCCAGTTTATTCTGCAGGCAAAGGTTAATCAGCTTTGATTTGGGGGGATAAAATAACTGTAGCTAGTTACTTAAATTTCATATGCCTTAGAAACTGATTGTAATTAATAACTTCACAATATGAAGGAGTTTTGTAGCTTTTGATGAAGCTAACATATTCTGTACAAGACTGAAGTCATGGAGTAGTATTGTTATTGTACCTTTAACTATTGAGAACTACACTCCAGTTTGCTTACCTGTTTCCTCTGTTTACCCAGTTGATGGTCTTCTAGGTGCAGTGTATATAAGAAGTCATCCTCATTTCATAGGTCACTTGTTCAGTAACCTTTTGCCTGTGTGAATTGTGCTCTAAATGAACAATACCTCAGATGTTAGAGTAGCACTTACACCAGGCTGTCGTTTGTCCCTTCGATGCTTACTTACTTAATGAGTAGTAATCATTATTTTCCTTCTGTGATTACTGTAGAGGAGCTGATTCATGAAATGGAAAACAGGAGGCAGTTACAGACAGTTTGAATTGTGCTGTCACGCTTTCATGGGCAGGCACCTTCCTTGGACCTTTGATATTTCTTAGAGTTTGCCCAGGAATACGTTTGGTGAAAGAGAGACTTGGGCATCTGGACTGTATTTTCATGGAACCCTGTTTCAGCTGCTTAGAAATACAAGATTATCCACATAGGTATTTTCTGTGTCCCTGACTCGTTTTATACAAAATGTGAAGTGGGTTGGAGGGGGGGTGTGGTGTAGAAGTAAAATGAATTGATCAAAGGCCTTTTTTAACTGGAAAATTTCAAACCAATTAAAAATCCATGTGAGCTCAGTTGAATTCCTAAGGGATTATTGAAATAGAGGATGGAGAAAATAATTATGAACAGAACTATCGAATGTTGTGATGCAGGATCATTGCACCTTTGTTTACTTACACGTTTACCACCTAATGCCTCTTCCAAATGTTGTCAGATTACAGTTTTAATAGTTTTTTACTTTTGAGTATCTACAAGGCTGAACTGAACAAGGCTGCACGAGATAAAAGTTCCTTATTCTTTCCACTTGGATTTTCTACTGAGATGGTGACTCAACATCTGTAACTTGTGCTTCAGTTAAAAGTCTTCGCATTCTGGGGATCTTTGTGCTTGCAGTCAGGTTGAGAATGGTAATGGCAGGCACAGCAGGGAACTTGGATTCAATATGCTGAATGGAAGGTGAGTGTTTTAGCACAGCTGCCTCCTGAGGGTCAAAGGAAGGGAAAAGCCCTGTGGGAGTATTTTCAAGCACCACTGAGCTGGCACACCAGGAGACAATGATTGACTTTAGAAGAGCCCTACTGTGCAAAGGATTGTTGTGTTGTGGTCCTCTTTATCACTGGCTAGACATTTCTTTTGAAGAAGCCAAAAATGGGAGAGTAGTGAGATAGCAGCAAAGCAAACAAATAAAAAAATAATCATCAAACAGCTCTCTCTGATGACATTGAGGTCTGGAGATTTGTTTCTGTTGCTAGCAGCTTCATTGATTTGGCAGTTAATTTCATTAGAAAGACTGACTTTGGATGGCATTGGTAAGATTTCTGTATAAAAGCTGATGACCTGGTGATGATGGAGTGGTAGTTGAATTGTTGTTTGTCTTGAAAAGGAACATTAATTTGAACCTCCATATAAAAAGGAGATTTTATTTGTATTTGGTATGTACGGTCAGAAATACATAACACGGTTTCAATCTTAATACATGCATTTCTTCACAGGAGTTCAGACATGCACAACAGAATGGCAAAAACTGGAAAGCTCACCCTTCTGCTGAGATCCCAGTGAAAACACCACTCGGCTCATGGATGGCTTTGCAGCTCCCATGGCAACAAGAAGGAGGTGGACTGAAGATACTGTCTGTGAGCCTGGCTCTACTGGCAGCTCTTGTTATGTTTTACTATGGTGGAATGAAAACAGAACTGTGAACTGAATGAGGCTTTTATGAAAACAATAAAACTGCTGTTTAAAATCTTCAAATGAAACATTTTTACCAACGATTCCTTTTCTTTTTCTTTTTCTTTTTTTTTTTAAAAAAGCTATTTTAAATTGAGCAATAATTTGTACTCACCCTATGCCTTTCCTGTCATTTGTAGGAGAGAATATTAATAACCTCTAGGGAGATCTATCTTGCTAAAAGTTGAGATCCTTGGTTGACAGAAGAGTTTGTTGCATTTTTCTTCTTCTAAGAAATCTTTCTATTTAGTGATATTGGTAATCTTTTCTGGGTAGAACATTTAAAGCTTTCTTAAAGATTTTACTTAGTGCAGTGGGATGGTTTGATACGTGTCTTTTTACGTTAGAATCAAATTGCAGGGCCATTAAAGTTTGCCATTTGTTGCTATTTATTTTGCTGTCATGTCTGAAAGAATTTTTGCCCTGCTCTTTTGCCTCTCTCAAATTCACAAAGAGTTACTATGCCACGTTAATAGAATGAGAATTATTTTTTCCTTAGAAATAGTTTTAAAATTATTGCTTTTTTATCATTGAATGGGAATATGGAGTTCTGGTGGTAGAGATCTGTTAAAATATGGATTTAATACAATACAGATTTAGTATAATGCTCAGAGAAGTACATGAGTCTTGTATTAGCTGTGCATTGGTTTGTGCTGTGTATAAGAAATATTGCTCTGTTAGTGAGGAGGTTACATTTTGCATGCTGCAAATTTCTAATTACTTTCTACAAGCCATTTTTGTCATAACAGGATCTCCGTGTGTCTTGAGATTGTGCTAGTCAGCCAGCAACTGGACTCTGTGCCCGGTTCTGCTCACAGCTGACTGCATGATATTGTTCATTCGTTCATGCATTGTTGCTGAGTTGCCTACACGGCTATTGTGGTTTAACCCTGGTAGGCAGCTAACATGAAGCCACTCACTCACGTCCCCGTGGTGGGATGAGGAAGAGAATCAGAAAGTTAAAAGTGAGAAAACTCATGGGTTGAGTAAAGACAGTTTAATTAGATAAAGCAAAGGCTGTGCACACAAGCAAGGCAGAGCAAGGAATTAATTCACTACAGGCAACATCCACAGGCAGATGTTCAGCCATCTCCAGGAAAGCAGGGCTCCATCACACGTAAAAGTTACTTGGGAAGACAAGATACCATAACTCTGAATGTGTCCCCCCAGCTCCTGCTTTCCGCCCAGCTTTTATTGGTGACATGATGCCATATGGTATGGGGTATCCCTTCGGTCAGCTGGGGTCAGCTGTCCCAGCTGTGTCCCCTCCCAGCTTCCTGTGCACCCCCAGCCTACTCTCTGGTGGGGTGGTGCGAGGAGCAGAAAAGGCCTTGACTCCGTGTAAGCACTGCTCAGCTGTGTTTATCAACATGAGTTTTGTCACAAATCCAAAACATAGCTGCATACCAGCTGAGTTGCCTACACGGCTATTGTGGTTTAACCCTGGTAGGCAGCTAACATGAAGCCACTCACTCACGTCCCCGTGGTGGGATGAGGAAGAGAATCAGAAAGTTAAAAGTGAGAAAACTCATGGGTTGAGTAAAGACAGTTTAATTAGATAAAGCAAAGGCTGTGCACACAAGCAAGGCAGAGCAAGGAATTAATTCACTACAGGCAACATCCACAGGCAGATGTTCAGCCATCTCCAGGAAAGCAGGGCTCCATCACACGTAAAAGTTACTTGGGAAGACAAGATACCATAACTCTGAATGTGTCCCCCCAGCTCCTGCTTTCCGCCCAGCTTTTATTGGTGACATGATGCCATATGGTATGGGGTATCCCTTCGGTCAGCTGGGGTCAGCTGTCCCAGCTGTGTCCCCTCCCAGCTTCCTGTGCACCCCCAGCCTACTCTCTGGTGGGGTGGTGCGAGGAGCAGAAAAGGCCTTGACTCCGTGTAAGCACTGCTCAGCTGTGTTTATCAACATGAGTTTTGTCACAAATCCAAAACATAGCTGCATACCAGCTACAATGAAGAAAATTAACTCTATCCCAGCCAGACCCAGTACAGTGGCTCTATAGTGCAGGTGAGTAATCCTCTAAGAAGAATGCTTCCTACGGTGTAAACTGAGGATTCATAATAATTACAGACAATTAATCAGGAAGTTCCACCATGACGCTTTCAGTACAGCCTGTAAATTATAACAAACAGATGTAGCTGTCTTCAGGAACTCAGCTGTGTAATGACTTGAATATTATATTTCTTACTGCAACCACCGAAGGTCATGAGCAAGACTCAAAATTCATGAGATTTAGAAAAAAAAAACAAAACCAAAACCCAAAACACAACACAAACAACAAAAACCAACCAACCAAAAAACACCAAAAAGAAAAACCAACTGTGCTTTTGATTTGCTTCTGTTTGGTTGGTTTTTTTCCAGGCCTTTCTGTACAATCAGGAATATGTAACAATCAGTAATGTACATTTTTAAGAACTCTGAAATTCTCAAAAAAAAAAACAAAACCAAAAACATTTGTCTCTAGGAGCTGAAATTTTCAGGGAAGTACCACATATCACAAGGTTCTCAGGAAAACTATGAGTTGACAAAGTCGTCATATGTGAGCCAAATTTTTGCATTTGATGGGAATAAACTATGCAGATATGTTCTATGCCTCTAGCACTCTGTCAGCCACTCTAGCTTATCTAATCATAGCAATTACAGACTCATTGCATCAGCTGTTACAGAGATTTACAAAGCTTGTGATTTAGATTCTGTGCATCATTGGCTTTAATGAGACCAGCTTATTTTCTTAGAAATAATGCAATATACAGAAAGAAGACAAAGAAGACTTTGTAAGTTTCATTGCCCACAGATGCAGTATATTCTTAAACTGAACTTTAATCTGGTAAGTAGGAAGTGTTGTTGTCAAGTATTTTATTATCTTCCTTTAGATTTTGAGAGGGCTTTTTGACACTTTGTATTGCAGAGCAGTAGAGTGTTTGTCATTTGTTTCTGTTTATTTGTAACTAAGGCTTTTAAAGCCACTGAGCTGAACAAGTCAATTCTGGTCAAACAGCTCATCCTGTCCTTCAGGCAAAACCCAAAGTGCATGCTACCTGGGGCTACTGTTGCAGGCTGGAAAACCTTAGTGAGCGTAGAGTGAACTGTAGAAGTCCATCTGCTTCATGGAATTGATTGGCCTGAACACATTTGCTCTGTGATTTTTTGGCTCCCTGAATGCTTCTGTCATGCTAGGTCGTGTTTCTAATTTTTACATCAGCATTATGTTTGAGGCCTGCTTGCACCAAGCATTCTTTCCTTGTAAACCATCAGGACGGGTCAGAAATCTACTACACTCCAGGTTAATTAAGTCATTGCAGAAGAAGTTTCCCCACACTCAGTTTGATGTCACTTTTTCATGTGCATGAACACACTCATCACTGGAGAATGTGTCTGCTAATTACCAATCCACATACAATGCCTTTGGTTTTTTTAAAGCAAAATAGAATCTAATTTCCTTTGGGTACCAAGGAAGCCTCAACTATTTTTCTTATATGTCTGTGGTAGCTCTGAGTTCTCTTCAGCTGTTTTCAGTGAGGAATCATGCAAACCACAAGACTTGAATAGCAAAAATGTAAGTCTCTTCTGAACAACATGAAGTGCACACTTTTTATGTCCTGCTTGTGCATGGTTTTGGATGCTGGAGGACTTTGTCATTTAATCTTTTCATCGTAGCTTTCTATTAATGGTATACTTGTTTAGAAAAATGATACGAAATCAAAGAAGCGGTTTATGTAAAGCTTGTTCTGTAAAGCAGGAGAGCAAAAGAAGGAGGTACCTTTTTGAGGAGAGTTCATCCACCTCTGTCACATCACTGCCTGCACATCTCTGAACATCTGACAGTTTCTGTTAATCTAGTTTCACTCCTCAGTTCAACTTCCCATATGGAAAGCTGGAGTGATGTCTGAATAACAGCAAGTAATATCTGAAGTGGCAGCAACTGGCAACTCTGACATTGAGCTTGGCTGTAGCCATTACCCAGAATCCTTCCGCTCTTCTTGAGAAGCAATTACAATTTCACAGGTTGGAATTAAAATTCCCTGCGGTATGCAATAGAGTAACTGAAACTGTCAAAGTGATTTCAAGCTGCTAATCTCTTGCTGCTCGAAGAGTGAAAATAGAGCCCCTCGTACCCAGGCACAGATCTGACAACTTAAAAACTCCAGCCTTCCACTGCATTTGAATACATATGGAGAGTGGCTTGATCTGCTCACAGAGGATATCTGTAAAGATGTTATGTCTATGAACATTTGTGTGTTATTAACAAGTCTATCTTTTTTAACTTTAAGATGTGTGTAACTTCAGGGACTAAGACAAATATAAAGGAAGTCTTATGCAAAAGCTCTGAGAATTTGGAGGAATGAGTAGGCATGTGCCTGTCTGTGTGAGGCTTATTAAAATCTTTACTTATGTATTTTCATACATGTAGTATTTTTTGCTGCAAAAAATTGCATGCAACTTTCCAAAATTTTATTTTCACATATTTAAACCCACATTGTATTTTGAGTGCACTGTGTTTGATTGTATAGATAGGAGCAGAAAGCATTTAGAAATCTAAAACAGAAGGAAAGAATGAGAGGCTGTAAAGCTAGGGTGCAAAATAGAAAATGTTAGTGCAAAAGCTGTGAAGTGGGTTTGAACTAGGAGAGACAGCCCACAGAGTTAGCAACTAGCTGCAAAACACCATTTGACTTGTTCAGAGGCAGGGTTCATCCACCAGATAATTAAGGTTAGAATGATTGCTGGAAAGTATTTGTGCAAATATCATTAAATGTCTTTTAGTTGCATATTTCATTCATGGATGCACTTAACATTGAAATGAATGCTTATTTCTTTAAATGAAGATGGTTTCAGTAGCTGGTAGAGGGGAGTTGAATTATGAGTAGTCTTATTTTGCTTTACAGAAGCCAAATTTAAAAAAAAAAAAGAAAAACAAAAACAAAACAACAAAAAACCTGTGACAAATAATCATG